AGTGTACTCAGCAGATAGTTTCGGGGTCCGCACCCAGCACGCTCAAGGCTTAATTTTTTTTTTTTCTTAAACAAAAGTCATGTATTATCTGCACGTCTCCCTTGGTGTGGGGCACCTTCCCCCCACCTCGAATAACGCTAACGTACATCGGCGACCCCCATGGCAAGGGAGCGCACCGTCCCCAGGCACGGGGACAGGGAGGAGGAACACGTGTTACGGTTTCATGGCCACGAGAGATGCAGGAGCCCCACCAGCTCCCCTTCCCCAGGAAAGGCCAGCCGAAGCCAACTACCAGCAGGTCTCGGAGCAGACAGGGACGAGAGTGCGCTGGGAGCAGCCCCAGACGGGGCCGGGCGGGCCCTCGCCACCTTACCCGGCGTGGGCGGGGAGGGCAGCGACGAGCAGCAGGACGCCCAGGCTGACGAGCGGGAGCGGTGCCCGTCCCGGGAGCCGCGGCGCCATGGCCTCCACGGGGCAGCGGGGCAGCAGCGTCTCCAGCACCTGCTGGCAGTAGAGAGGAGAAAAGAGGTTTTATTTTCTAGGAGGAAAGAAACCAGCTTATTTCATTTTTTCGGTCACGCAAATGGTGTTCTGTCCATGTGGCTAGAAATCTGCATTTCTGGGGTCTGGCGTTTGACGTCCCAAAGACCCCAGAGCAACCAAAGGCAGCGGCACCCGCTGCGCGCCGCCAGCCCTGGAGAGCTCGCAGTGCAGGGGCAAAGCCAAGCACCCGAGAAAAACCACCTCCCCACCTTTTACCGCCTTATGGGCACTGATCCAGTCCTTCCCACCCCGTTGCAAGCCTGGAGCTGGCTAAATCTCGTGGGGATGCAGCAAACGGGGCTCCTGGCCACGCTGCTGCAGCGGGAGCAGCCAGACACTGCTACAGATCGAGCCAGGAAGGCTTGCATGGCACAGGCATGCACACCCACCCACCCACGTTCACACCACAGCCAGCAGCTCCCAAGGGCCTTCAGCACCTTCCAGCAAGGGCAAAAATCCCCTTCTAGAGTGGGTGTAATCATCCCAGCCTGCCCTTGCCTCGCAAAAACCCCCAGCTGCGTGGGGCCGTCACCTCCTGCCCCAGCCTATGCTGGCTTGCGGACACCTATATGGCAGAAGCTTTTCTAAAATCTCAGATCCACATTTTCCAAGTGTCTTTTTCCAGACGGTTAGGCCCTCACTTCATCCGGTGATGACTCTGCCAGAAATTATTAAGTTTGCGTGCTGAGGCCCAAGGTAGCGGGAGTGTTTGACTGCACCACATTTATAGTATGTTCAGATTTTTCATTAATGGTCAGTTTTACTTTTATTGTGATGTTATTGAGCACTTAACTGCCTTTTCTCTTTTATGGATCTCATTACATTGATGCACCTCAGAACAGCACTGCCAAGCAGCAGCCGGCACAAACGCAGCTTGTCATGATGTATCTCCTCCGCGACACCTCACATTAGGCACACCTGGACAACGCAGCCCTGGGGACGCTCAAAACCACAGTGGCCAGGCACGACTGGTGGGCACGAGCTCCCGGCCACTAACTCCAAAAGGCTGAAAAAGAGCTGTCAAAAATCTTTTTTTCCTTCCTTCGACATGTCAAGAGGTGCAAAGAGCTCCAGTACAAATGCAGTAACTATAGGTAAGGTGAGAATAAAGCCCTCCGCCTCTGGGAAGCAGTGGTACAGCAGGGTCAGGAGGCCACTGTGCTAAACACACTGCTATCCAGATTATGGCCTTTGCAGGGACAGGGAGCCGTCTCACAGCCAGGCAGCTCCGCACCTCTGCAAACGCGTACTGGGCTAAACAGCGATCCATGCCGAACCCGAGGTGCCAGCAGATACTTACATATTACTCATGCTGGCCAAAGCGGAGGGAACCAGGAAGCACTTTTGCAGCGCTCCTATACCTGATCATCCACTGACCATCTTTCCTGCATCACCCAAATGCTGCGTGCTATATCGCAATTCTGCATTTAGCTACCCCATGGTTGTCCTGCGATGCTCTGGCCCTATAGTTCTCCTGGATGCAGTGCACGATCCCTGCTGTTCAGCTCAGTACGGCTCTAAGAGGACATATGTCAGCTGCCATGCAAGCAGAAAACAAGAGCCAGACACTGCAAGCTCTTATTCACCCACCCCAGGTTTTTTTCCGGCAAGTTATTCACTTGTGGCAGGGATAGTAAAAATCGCATTGGGCCCCAGCGCTGCCTTTGCATAGAGCACATTTCAGAATCACACATTGTGTTTATTTCCTCCCCGTTAACCACTTAAAGCCTCAGCAAATATCAGTGCATGGATTGATTCAATGCACGTGAGCATTTATCAGGGGATTCAGGGGCTTATTTAATCAGGATGTTACCTAAGGAAATGCAGCCCTCACACCACCAAAGGAGCAAACTCGTAACAGCAGCTGCTGGAGTGTCCGGGCACGGGTATTTCTGCGCCGCTGGGAGAGGAGAGCCCTAACTCGCCAAGACTTTGCTGGCTCCTCCAGCTGAGGAGGGACACAGTCTTGGAAACTGAAGTATTTGCTGATAAAGCACAAATTAGGAACTGAACATCTGCTCTGTGGGAAACCCAACAGTTAGGGGAGACTCATTCCAAATCAGAACAAGGAGAGCTAAAATGTTGATGTTTCTTACAAGGCAAATTCAAAACTCCTTCAACTAGCAGCTCCCTCAACAGATTTCCTTTCAACCTTATCCTTTCAATTCACTTAAACTTGCATATTGTACAATACGATTTAATTAAAATATTTTTTCTAAGGCAATTTCGAACACTAGCCAAAAGCAAAAAACACTGCTGGCTTCCCTCTCCTCTCTTCTCCCCCCCATTGAAAACTTTCCGTGAAATCAACACTTTCCCACACTTTTTATCGATTTCAATAATCTGTTTGTTTGGGCAGAATTTGCACCTACAGCAGATTTTCACTAGCAATATGCACACAAACCAGGACCCCCCCATTCTGCAGCTGGTGCCTCCTGGCTCTGCGGAAGCTCCTCTGTCCTCTGGGACATCCTGGATCGTCTTTTGCAGATTTAAGACCAGGACAACAGTGGGACAGAGCAGCTAACACAGAACAGGACGAGGTAATGAGGCGGCAGGGTAATTCAGAGTTATGGCCAGGAACAGTGACAAAAGCAGGAGGCGCTTACACCTTCCCCGGTTTAACCTGCCTGTTTGTACCAAGAAGCTCACAGCAATCATGCTTCCACCAAACCTCGTTTGCGTCACCTTCGTTCGTTATTACACAGAGGTGACCGCTGACCTGACACTTGCGCAGCCCTGCTGAGGAAGGCGCTAGCCAAGGATAATAGGGCTACCTGAGTAAAGTTAAATATGTGCTTAAGTCTCATTTCAAACCTCGGAACGAGTTCTGTACACCTTCCCTGGGAAAACAGTAGCTTCCACCCCTCGCCCCAGCAGCTACTTTGCCAGCCACAGCTCAGTTTTCTGGTGCAGAGGATGCCAGCAAGGTAGGGCCTGAGACTACGCGGGTTGGTTACGGGAATGCTGTTCTTATGGACTCAGGAAGGACTGCATAGCATGGAAAATAGCCTGGCACTATTTTCTGCTTGTCTTTCCTGTGGTTCTTGTCTCATATTTTTACTGGGACAACCCGAGAGAAGAGGTTGTGTTGCATTTAGCTTCCTTGCTCTTCTGTTCTCTTGCACTTCTGCTTAAAGACGGAGAAGCAGACCCAGTCCTGAGGATCACGATTGATATTTTTGATTAACACAGGAGCTTTAACAACTGTTAGAGCAGTGGAGACTGGCAGCCTTGTGACCCTGAGCAACAGCCGGCCCAGCGGCGCTGGGAGAGCTGCAGCCAGCCTGCTGCCTGGGGCAGCCGCTGTGGGAACGGCCGCCCTTCCAGCGCTGCCGCTCACCACCCTCGTGCCCGGACACAAAATCACAGAATGGCTGAGGTTGGAAGGAACCTCTGGAAATCATCCAGTCCAAACCCCCTGCTCAAGCAAGGTCACCTAGGGCACGCTCTGGAGGGCGCAAGGAAGCCTTTACAGATGAGGTGGTTTTCACCTTTCGTGTGGTTTAGGGGATCCTTCAAATCTCCCCAGACACACGCAGCTTAGCCAAAGCCTTGCGTGATCACCATGGCACAACAGCTCCCAGTGCCACCTCTCCCCACTCCTGGGGCTCCTCTGCCAACTGCAGGGCCATGCAAAACTTCAGCTGGTTCAAACGCTCTATAAATCTAATAGCTACTGCCTGCACAGCCCGAATAGTGGCAAGGCTTCTGGACTGGCCGCGTGTTAAAATCCAGCCTGATTTCAGCAGATCAGTAACTGGGCTTCCCAGATTTTAGTACAAAAGTCTTTCTTGGAGAGGCCCTGCCCCAGAGCAGCCACCGCTGGAGGCAGACGAGGCAGCGAGGAATCCCTCAGTGCTCAGCCGGGATCTCTCCAGCACAGGCAGGGAACGGAAACACCCACGAGTCTGCCTTGGGAAAAGCAATGCTGGGGTGTCTCCAGCCTGAACTGGTACGACTCTGGCAGGAGATGCTTAAACAAAATGCTATTCAGCCATCGGTTTTCCATCCAGGAAGGCTCTAAAACAGTCAACATCTTGATCTGAAATACCTGCAAGGATCCCTGATCCTCTGAGGAGGGGAGGAAGGATGCAGGGGTGGTGCAGGGAATGCTCATTTATAACCGTGTGTAATACAGAGCAAGGGTTTAGGAATGTTAATTGGATGGTAATAGTCCTAAGGAAGAAAAAAAACCCAAATCTCTTTTTAGACCTTGATGGAAAAGAAACTGCATAGTATCTGTGAAGAAAGCAGAATACGAAGATTTCTAAGATCAGAAAAGATTGGTACGCTTCCCTAGACTGACTCCTCTTTCATGCAAGTTAAAAGAGCATCACCCTCTAACTGCTGGGCCCCTTCTATGCCTACCCAAGATGGAGTCTGTCAGGATAGTACGTGTTCACAACAGCTCCGTACTTCCTTCCTCCATCTGCCCATTGCTCATTTCTTAATGGTACAGTTAGCGCATGCATTCATCACTAACTCTGCAGTTGCTGGTAACCTCCACCGCTGAATCAAATGCAGATTTTCTAAGGAGCCCTGCTAACACTTTGCAGCTGGAATTCAGCAATAGTTGAAGTTTACAATTCAGCGCACTCTGGATTTTGGCAGGTCTCTCTTTATGATCAGATACCTAAAGGCATCATAAACATACCCACTCCTCTCCAACACATGCAGTCTGTCCAATCTCTGGAGCATCACAGCACAGCAACACTTCCAAGAGATACAGCTTTCCTGCTTGAGGTGCAGTTTCGGAATGAAGAACTGGAAAAGCCTCCTTCTCCCCTCCTCCAGGCGGCAACATGCTCCAGTATCTGCTCCTATGTAGGTCTGGGAACCATAAAGGTGCTGGTACCTTTTGGACCAGCAAGGTCCCCTAGTCACTATATGGACATTAGGTATATCCCGATTTTGTATAGTGGGCTTGATCTTTCCAGAAGCCATT